CACATCCTTATAGTGTGGGTCTCAAAACTGCACACAGTACTCCAGATGAGGCCTCACCAATGTCGAATAGAGGGGAACGATCACATCCCTCGATCTGCTGGCAATGCCCCTACTTATACATCCCAAAATGCCATTGGCCTTCTTGGCAACAAGGGCACACTGTTGACTCATATCCAACTTCTCGTCCACTGTAACCTCTAGGTCCTTTTCTGCAGAACTGCTGCCTAGCCATTCGGTCCCTAGTCTGTAGCGGTGCATGGGATTCTTCCGTCTTAAATGCAGGACTCTGCACTTGTCCTTGTTGAACCTCATCAGATCATGAACTTATTTATTTCGTTTTTGAATCCTGTTTTAGTCTTTGCCTTTACAACATCCTCTGACAAAGAGTTCTACAAGTTGACTGCATTGTGTGAAGAGGAACCTTATGTTCAGTTTTTATCAAGATTGAATGTTGAAATTCATAATTAACACTGAGCTGTATTTTTTTTGAAGATGATGCATCTTGTGTAAACATAACTGGAACGGATGAATATTGCAGCATTGCTCTTCAATGTGAAACAGGTTTTAAAGAAAAGTGTGCTTTCATGCATTCACATTTAGATTCTGCTGTGCTTCATGAGGTATATTTGATTTTACCTCATATTAACTATGATTTTAAAAACAGATTAGATCTCCTAGCACAAACCAATGCAAGGAATACAGTTCAACATTCCTAGTAGATGCCTTTACAAATAGCAAACTTACAGTACTTATATATTGCCTAGTGGAGCACCTAAGTGGCTACTCCCATTACTGTTCCTCCTTATCCCTCCACACTTTCTACTCATCAAAACCATCCTGTTGCTGCTTTGCCTGCTTCCTACTTAGATGCTGCTGCTCTTGACAAGCAGATACAGTCACTCAGTTGCCTGACTGAGCAATGACTCATGAGCTAAAGACAGCAGTCTGCAGTGTAAATTAATTGCATTTCCTGGGGACCTTTTAGGTGTGAACCCTTTAGTAGTCATTCGTAAGAGGTTTTTAATGAACAATACTATGATTTAAAATATGCCAGTGGTCAGCTCCATTCTTCATCGTGAAAAGGTCCACAGATCCATTTTGATGTATATTTGAATTAATTTGCATCTTGGGGCAGAACCAAATCTGCTGGTCCCTGGCAGCAGGCCAGTGTCCTGATCCTTGAAGTTCCCACCAGTTTTATCTGCCTCCCCATCAGCAGATGGCTCTCTGAACCCTCCCTGCTGCAGAGCTCTTCTGAGGGAAATTTCAATCCTTTATTCCAAATTTCTGATTACCATTTGGGCTCAGTAATGAGTAATTCCTAGCCATGTCCCAGGGCTGCATTTGCTTACTGGGGAGATTTTTCCCTTTTTGAAGAGTCTGCAGTGGCTAGCGCCTCTTCAGGCATCAGGGAGAGAGCTAGATGGAGAAAACCAAAGGCAAAAGGAAGGGTGAGTGCGTCTTTCACACATTGTCAGTTGTCTTGTCGGGAAGCTCAGCCATCTCTGTTCCTGCCTCAGCCTGGTCTGGTAGGGTTGCCTCAGTCTTGTTGTGTCGTACGTCTCCCCCCTTCCCTGCAGAAAAGGAGCCAGACAGGATTGGAATGGCAAGCAACCCCCACATCCCATTTCCATGAGAGGAGCGGTGCCAGAAGGTCAGTGTACCAGATGAAATATTGTGCCCTAGATCCTGAAGTCCGCACCAAAGCTGTTCCTTATCTGCACAGTGCGGCCACCTTTTTCCCTTTGATTCCTCGTGGGCCATGGATGGAGAGCATTACACACAGCACAGACACTGGCAAAACTAGCTCCTCCCCCTGCTTCATCCTCTATAACAGGCCTCCCAGGGGATAGTTGCGGACATCCCAGACCATCTGGCCCATGTGGACCCCCTATAATAGAAAAGGGGTGAGCCTCTGGGGAATCCATTCTTCAACCCCAGTAACTTCCCTGAGAGATCCAGATGGGGTCCCTGTTGAGGAGGGAGGACAATAAGCAAAGCCTCTGTGAGAGCAGGAGCTTGCTACCACTTGAAATATTTTTGGAGCCATGTCTGAACCCAAGTTTGCTCCTCCTTTTGAAGCAGGATCATAAGGAGAAATTCCCAAAGGGGATATAAATATGTAAGATCAGTGCCCAGTTCCCCTTCTTACCTTCACAGAGTACATCCAGCTTTACAGATTTAGCACAGATCTGTGGCTTGATCTTTGCTGAATTATTCTTCTGGGTTCATGCATGCACAAAGTGGGATGGGAAAGGGAGTTCTTCCTCAGGTGACGCCAGCTGCCTGAATCAGAGATGGGGATCAAATAATAAAAGATATTTGCAGGAAGAGTACTAAGTACTGTGAATCTATGCTGAGGAGGTCTGCAGGTGCCCTAGACAAACTATGATGAAGGGTGGGGATTTCCTGCCCAACCTAAAAGACTAGGAAAGTATTGGAGTGTTGTCCCAGATGCTGGTGTATGTTGCTACACTCTAACTATTAGGCTGTTGACCATGGCTGTCACTGTAGGTTGCCTTGCTACTCCACAGCTGGTCCATGGTGGCTGTCCATGGAGTGATGAGGACAGCCCATATGTGGAAGAGCAGCAGGCAGTAAGGAGCCTCTTGGCCCATCTTTTACTTTTTTCTAGCCCTCCCCCCTCTCAATTTTATAAGGCCATAAAGTTCCTCCATGTGTACCAGTCCAAATTCAACCTAGTGTTACTACCAAGGGGAAACGGTTATCTTCCCTGGTGGTCAGCGACTCAGCATTTCTAACTGAGTGAGACTTTTTTTAGATCTGAAAGGATAGCCTCCTCACTCCGCAGGTCCTCTGCAGGTAGCCAAGTCTGGGCAGATGTCACCTCAGTCTCTTCCCTGGGTGTGAAAGCTCTCAGGTCACATGAGCCCAACAAAAACAGAAATAAAAATTACGAAGTGTTGTTCGACGCTCTTCACATGATTTCACAGGCAATGCTAGCATAGGTGGACAGTATTGCTCATATGGTTGTCATAACTTAAAAGCCTAAGGGCTTTTCTGTGCAAAAGCTAGTAGGACCTAAATCTTTGCATGCAGGTATACGGGGCCTTCTCAAGCAAATTGGTTTCCAGCTTGTAATTCTATAGTGGGAAACTTTTTGGAAAGCCAAAGCTATCCAGAGCTGTCAGAGAAATAGATTTATAATCCTGGCTCCTGCCAGACACGACTGAAAGATCACAGGGCAAGTTAAGAGTCCCTAAAGTACAGGAGAGTACCATTTTGCAAGTGGTGGGAGGAAGAAATTGAGGGTGCTGAGGCAAGGTCAGTACCATAGAAACCCAGAGCTACAAACACCAGAGTTATGAACTGACCAGTCAACCACACACCTCATTTGGAACTGGAAGTATGGAATCAGGCAGCAGCAGAGACCAAAAGAAAGAAAAAAAGAAAAGCAAATACAATACAGTGCTGTGTTAAATGTAAATTACTTAAAGAAATAAAGGGAAAACATTTTTCTTCTGCATAATAAAGTTTCAAAGCTGTATTAAGACAATGTTCAGTTGTAAACTTTTGAAAGAAGAACCATAATATTTTGTTCAGAGTTATGAATGACCTCCATTCCCAAGGAGTTTGTAACTCTTGAGGTTCTACTGTAGTTGCCCTCAATTGCCTCAGAGTAATTCACATGACTTGCAACCAGCCCTATTTAGAGTTAGACCCCTGAATGGTGCCAAGGTCTTTCATTTGGGGAACCTACAACTTTGGCCAGAGTGAGGTCACTGGGCATTGTCCAGAGAGGGCTATTCTCTGGAGCGTTGCAAGAATCACAGGCACAATTCTGTCTCATTTCTAAACTCAGGCAGCCCGTTGAAATGACAGGATGTGAATGTAACCCTACATTACCTACTTCAGATAAAAGCGATATAACCCATCCTGTTTCTAAGGCAGGCCCACGTTACGGGGTTAACGTAGCTGGAGTCGATGTAGCTTAAGTCAACTTACTGCGGTGTCTATACTACGCTGGGTCAACGGGAGAAACTCTCCTGTTGACTTACCTTGCACTTCTCGTCTGGTGGAATAGTGGAGTTGACGGGAGAGTGAGCTGCGGTCAATTTAGCGGGTGTTCACTAAGTCAACCCCTGGTGCATCGATTGCCGCAACCTCAATCCCCAGTAAGTGCAGACGTACCCCTAAACTTAGAGAATAGGGAACTAACAGGGCTCCCTATGAAACATCTAAATGAGTTCCTAAAGGAGACTTATATTCTCATGGCCAGTTTACCGTTCCATAGTCAATTCTCCCAGTTTGCATATGGATGGCAGTCGTCCCGTCCCGTCCCCCCCCCTCCCCCCCAGCAAGTTCCACTCACTATTATTTAGACTGACGGATGTTTTCAGGGTCTCCTAAAATCACAGTGGTATTAATATGGGCTTCTGGGAAAATTCTACTGATCATGGCTATGAATCTTGTGTCCATGGTAAACAGATATATGGTTCCAAGGAAATCAGTCATAGCTCTGAGCTGAAGATGAATCCTGTTGGGTACAAGGCCTCATCTCAGAAGAATGATAACTGAAAATAAAGATGACCATAAAGGGGAAAAAAAGTGGAGTCAAACAAAAATCCAGTTCTTAGTAAATCCTATTAGGAATGTTGCTCTCATGCACAGACATGCTTCAGTGAACAGGAGTTCATATGAGCCTTATCCAGTAATTCGTGTTATCCCTCCACATTTCAACCTATCACATCTACTGATAGAGGCCCAATTATCTATTTTCTGTTCCCTCAGCTGGTGAATACAGAAATCAGATTTTTCAAAGCCAACCACTCATTAATGAGCCGGATTGTCACAGTCACAAGGCTAGCTACTTTTCCATCCCCTTTCTGGTCTCTGAGAGCACCCCAACACCAGATCGGTGCAGCATGGATGCTGGAATGAAGTGATGATCACTCCCATGGACTGCAGAAAAGTCAATAAATAGAACTTATTTTATTGGTAGAAGTAAAGTCTGTGTTTTAATTACCACATTAAACATATGAATTTGAATTCCTCCAGGAGGGCTTTAATGAGAATGTTCAAGCAACAATGTAAAGTTTCTCTAGTATAAGGGTCTCAGCATGTTAAAGACAAGATGTGTAAACCCTGACATTAAATACCTCCTTAGGGTAACTACCTTGTTTCCAGCCCCACAGGTTATAGAATACAACCTTGACATTTCATTCCGGTCCTTACAACACTACCTCAATTAACCCCCCTGTTGCAAGTGTCATCATATTTATCCATTAAAGTAGACTTCCCGATAACTGCTATCTCCAATCAGATGAGCTTTTGAACTTGGGAACTCTCCTGAATGAGACCCAGTGTGTATTTTGAATTCTGACAAATAGTCTTTACAACTGTCCTATCATTCATGCCCAAAGGAAATTCAAGAAATATTTTCCCTTCTATCAAGCATCAAAGTCCAATCTGTAAAAGTGCTGACAATTTCAGGGCAGAGAAGTCATATCTTCAGTAGTGAGATCTGCTAGGCAGCGAGGTAGCCATCCGTATATAAATTCACCAGATTCTGCATATTGGTCATCCAATCTTTAGCCAGTACCATTTTTGATGGAAGTCTTCTCTCTGCCTCAGTGCCCAGGGAAAGAGAAGAAATATAATTTGCACTATTTTGAATGTACATCTTTAAAGAATGATCCTACTTCCCACTGTGTAGCCTACTGCTATGAAAATCCTACTGTAATAGATATCTATATCTTAGCATGATGAAGAATAGGAACATTTTTCTGCACTTACCTGCATGTTTCCTTTCCTTGAAACAATTTCCACAGATCTTGCTTCTCCCAGAGACAAATGGGATCATCCGGAATTGAGATGGAAATTGACAACCAAACATTTAGGTTTATTTTATCAGGGGAAATTGTCCTTATGCTCTGCAGTAGGATAAATTGTTCTTTTTCTTCAGTGTATATTTAATGCAGTCTCTAATTTTGGAAAGTAGAATGAAATTACCCTGGCTGTTGAAGCTGTTTCAATTGGAGAAAATTTAAGGGGGCAGGGCATTTCCCTGCTGCCAGTGACTGACAAGTATGGCTCTGTTTCTAACCTGCAAGCCGAAATACCCATTGTAACAGATCTATGGACTTCATTAACTCAAAGAAAGGAAATGTTCAGATAAGCAGATAAATGTTTCTCTTCAAAGGTCTTGGTGGTGCTTTGTGGTTCACATCTGTGCGTAGTGATCTTTTTAAAGTGGGGAATAGCAATTTATAAACAAGGACACATAATGAGAGGGTGAGAGAAGGAAACAGAAATGAGAGAACAGGCATCTTTCAGTTAGCAGTCTTTATTCTTTTGCTGTTTCTTCCTGTCAAGTTAAGGTTACCTGGCAGGCTGCCCAGAGAATATGTAGCATTTTTTTTTCTTGTTGCTGTTGGTGCAGAGGAAGAGGTTGCTGTAGGAACTAGCCAGACATATTTCTGCTGCTGGTAAGCCTATAACTCTGATAATGGGCACCAAGCAACTTAGCAATGCGGCTTTTTTTAGCTATTCATGGACCATAAGACCCAGAGTACGCTACTTTGTAGCCATAGGCTGCCAAGACTTTCTTGAAGGATTTGGAACCAACCCCTTTTTCCATTTACTCTGCAAAATTGTTTCTCTGATGGTACAAAGAGAAATGTTCCAGAGCCTTTCAGATGTAAATTGGATTAGAGAGAAGACGCTATGAAAATTAACATCAAGATAACTGTGAAGTTGCTTTTTTAAAAACACTATCGTCTAGAATAAAAGTATAAAATCATTTTCAGGTCACTATTAGTATGAGCTGTACGTCAGGAGGCCAGGTGTGTTTCATCAGTTCACCACTGTGTCAAAAAAACAAATGTTCTTGCCACATCAGCAGAACTTATCTAGAAGAAGAGTTAAAAGTCCTTCTACATGCACATGGGTTCAGTGTGTTTTCCATTTAGGATCTCTATAATCTGTATATAGCACACCTTTTATTTTGCATAGAATCTTCTTTACAAACTGTCCTAAACATGCTTTTATAGAGGTCAATAATACAGTGACACAGGTAAATAGGTGAACTTAAAATTAACAAATATAGGGAAGGTAGAACAGAGATATTCCTATAGTCAGAAAATGTGTATGTATGGCAATTTCTCCCCTTTCAGTTTTCTGCAAGTTTAGAAGAAATGCTGTTCACAGCAGTTCATAATAAGTGGATACTCAAAGCAGTTTCCTAAGGAGCTTTCATCACATCATAGTGTGACTTAAGTTTGACTATGGTGTTTTCTTGTTTCAATTACAGATTTGTTCATTAAATTCGTACTTACTCCACACTGTAAACTGGCCTGAAAACAGTGAAGCACTCAGCTGAAAAGTATCTCTGAGTTTCTCAATGTAAATACTGGAATGCTAATACACTGGACTACAAAGTAAACGCACAGATAGACAGAAACCGCACCATTTTTATATACCTTGTCAGAGTTGTATCTAGCGCTTGGAAAGTTTAGTTGGATAATCTTAATATTAGCAAAGTTGAATTGACTTATGTGCAGGTTGCTTTCAGTATTCAAATAACATTACTTATGGGCAGATGTGACAAACTGATATCAACATAGGTGGGTATGTGAAAATCAGCCAGAAGTATAGAAAGTCTATTAATAATCCTCCTGAGGTTCTAAGGCTGCATGCTCTGGTTGACCCTAAGCCTCTGGCTACCAGAAGATGGGTGGATCACTCCATAATTTCCCTTTTGTTTACGTTCCCCCTCAAGGTGTGGTACAGGCCACCATTGGAGACAGGATACTGGGAAAGATGGACCAAGGTCTGAACCAGTATGGCAGTTCTTACATGACTCTTGTTGGTGTCTATTCATTTGATTAAATCTAGAGGCACCCCAGCTTAGTCAGGGCAAGTAGTGATTGTATGGAGCTGCTTTGTCTGTTTTTAGGCATATTGTGTGATATGGGTATTGAGTGGAAGCTATGCTGACAAATGTGAGGCACCACATATAATGCTGAGAAAATGTACTGGACCCAGTGGGATTCCTCCATTTTTCTGCAAGCGGCTGGGAATTAAGAGATGCAGAGAAAAAAGAGAAACACCTCAATTTTTCCTAGCAGCTAGGCAAGGAGAGAGGAGAAATGGGCGATAAAGTGCCAAAATGGAGTATGAGATCTGCAAATAATTGTGGTGTCCTGTGCTTGTTACTTTACAATGTTTGTAATAGGTTTCAGAGTGGTAGCCATGTGAATCTGTATCAGCAAAAACAATGAGGAGTCCTCATAGCACCTTTGAGACTAACAAACTTATTTGGGCATAAGCTTTCGTGGGCTAAAATCCACTTCATCAGATGCATGGCGTGGAAAATACAGAGGCCGGTATAAATGCACAGCACATGAAAAGATGGGAGTTGCTTTACCAAGTAGTGGGTCAGTGCTAACGAGACAATTCAATTAAGGTGGAAGTGGGCTATTCTCAACAGTTGACAAGAAGGGGTGAATACCAAGGGAGGGGGAAAAAAATCACTTTTGCAGTGCTAATGAGGCCAATGTAATCAAGGTGGCCCATTTCCAACAGTTGACAAGAAGGTGAGAGTATCAGCAGGGGGAAATTAGTTTTTGTAGTGACCCATCCATTTTTTTTTTAACGTTTGTAACCTATCACAGGATTTGTAAGGCATTTATCATCTTGGTGTGTGTATATATCTCTCTATATCTATATATAGTGAACAAATTTATGACCAAATACAAAAAACGATGGGCTTTCCCTTGAGTCTTTCGAGTACAGGAATGTACAAAGGTAAGCGTGATATTTATTTTTAGAGGTGCTTCCCTGTGAAGGAGGCAAAATTGGAAAGATGTCTTTCATTTAGCTGTAAATCAGGGGTCTCAAACTCAATTTACCTTAGTGCCAGTCTTCAAATCCTCCCAGCGGGCCAATAATGTCACTGTAAGATGGTCTTCAGAAAACGTTTCTATTGTATTTTTTATTTCAAATTTCTTAGAAATAATAAAATTGTCATACAACGTGATACAATTCTTCACGTGCCAGAGAGTTTTTAGTGTTTGCCAGACACCTGGCAATGCTTCAGTTCCGTTAGTTGATGTTTGGCCTCAGCGACTGAGCAGTTGAAACCTTCAGGAGTGCAGCAAGGTGGGCATCAGAGAGTTGTGTTCAGTCCACTTTCCCACGCTCTGCTGACAGCAGGACCTTGCTGGGGTGGGCCTCAGCTTCCGTGGGCACAAAAGCGGCTGAGGAGGAGGCACAGTCATGGTCTGCCCGCTGGTCAGATGCAGGGGGTGAGGCGCATGGCTACTCCCCTCAAGAGATGGGGCAGTGGGTGGGTCTAACGCTCCCTGTGTGACTGGGATTAGGCTCCTATCAGGTTCAGTGCCTCCTGGTGCTCCTGCTGAGATGGCCCTCTCCTACACAAAGTACCCACATGACATGGGACAGTGGATAAAAAAGTAAATAAAGAGCCCCATTTCATTACACAGACCTGCAGTGCCAACAGCTAGAAATAACCTCTTTCCTTCTTCTTATCTTCACCTTATCTTATCTGCAGGCACCAGCACATTGCCTCCGTGCAGGCGCTCCAGAGCTCCCATTGGCCATGAAGTCAGCGCTTGGGGTGGGGGGATGGAGGCAGTGTGCCCCCTCGTGCTGTCCTTGGAGCCTAACGAGTCATGCCACCTCCCAGCCTGTTTCCCACCCTTTTCCCTCGCTCCCTTGGCCTTATGTATATATAGCCCCGGCTGACTCTGCCCAGTGACTAGTGACACTGCTTCCATGGCTGACTCTGCCTGGCAACTAATGATGCTGCCTCCATGGCTGATTCTGCCCAGCAACTAGTGATGGTATCTCTGTACCTCTTCCCTAGCCAATGGGAGCTGCGGGGGGCGGCACCTGCAGCAGACAGCTGGCAGCATAGCTGCATCTCTCTTGCGCCCCCACCCCCCCTCAACCCCCCAGCCGCCAGCCATGAGGGCCAGATGAACGTTTCTGTGGGCCGCAGTATGGAGGTTCTTGGGCCACAGATGGCCCGCGGGCCTGAACTTTGAGACCCCTGCTCTAAATGCTCTCAGGGTTGGGCTTTGTTTGATTTCTTCTTGCAAAAAATTTTACAGTCAGTTTCCTGACACTGAGAACTCTCTGTGGGATCTTCCCCAATAGTCTAAAGTTGGGCCTCTCTATGTTCATTGCTTTTGTGGAGCATTACTTTCTTTGGAGGATCATGGAGGGTGAGGCAGTCTGAAAGAACTAGGTTCCATGTAGTAAATGTTTTGTATATTACGACCAGAACTTTGAATTCTGTTGTGAAATGGAGTGTGGAGTTTGTGAGTACAAATATAACTATTTTGATTGCTGATGGTATGTGTTGTACTAACTTAAAATGGTTGCATTCAATCCCATATAGAGAAATTTGAGGTAGTCTAACCTGGAGGAGTCAAAATTGTAGATCATGATGTTTGTCTTTGTTTGGGAGGAAGGGACATAGTCTGGTCAGAGAAAGATGGATAAAAGTGTTGTTGGCATATCCAGAAATAGTATGAGTCCAGCATGACCTGATGCTTGGCAACACCTTGACAATCGATAGTCTGGTGACTTTGAATGTTGGTGAAGTCAGGATATGGCCAATTTGTCAAAGTATTTTCCCTGTTCTGCCAGCGTAATTCTGTTGTTGGTTGAGTTTTAACTCATATAAGAAGAGCAATTAGTTTAAGGGGAAGAGAGAGAGAGTATTGAGATGTACAGGATTCTTTAGTAAAGGAGCGTGAGTGGTAAGAAGCATGTGTCCATCAAGAGTCTCTGGGATTTATCTGGGAATGACAGGATCCTGGGCAGTGCTAATTCACTGACCTCCCACCAGATCAGTGAAAAATCTAATAGTTTCATAGTTTTTTCCCAAGTTTTTTAATAGATTGCCCCAAGATTTTCAGAAGTCTAGAAGGGGCTAGTGATTTTGGGTGATTTAGTTTTGGAGTACCCAACTTGAGACACCTGAGATTCTGATTTTCAGTGTGGGTGCTGAACACTTTCCGAAAATCAGAACCCCTTAGGCATCTCAAGTTGGGCAAACCAAAAATTCAAGGTACCCTGAGTCACTAGTGATCTTTGAAAATTTTGGATCTAGGTTTTAAAGCCGGAAGGGCCTTATCATCTAGTGTGATTCTATTCCTGGTAGAGATCACAACATGGTGTCATGTTGAGAGTCTGCAGTTATTCTGTTTGTTCCTGTTCTAGATGTGATGACCAAATGGCAAAGTAAAGTGATTTAAATCTCACTGATTTAAATCACCATTTTAATAATAAGAAAAGGAGTACTAGTGGCACCTTAGAGACTAACCAATTTATTTGAGCATAAGCTTTCGTGAGCTACAGCTCACTTCATCGGATGCATTCGATGAAGTGAGCTGTAGCTCACGGAAGCTTATGCTCAAATAAATTGGTTAGTCTCTAAGGTGCCACCAGTACTCCTTTTCTTTTTGCGAATACAGACTAACACGGCTGCTACTCTGAAACCTGTCATTTTAATAATGATTTAAGTGAGCAAGCAAGGAATCTGAGATTTAAAAAATTGATTTTAATTGTTTTGCATTTGTGCTTTTTACATATTTTCCTAAAGAAAAGTTTATTCTTATTAGTTGGTTACCGTTAAAACATGTTGATTTGCAACTAAATATACACTAATTTTGGTGCTTCTGTTTGCTAACCAGGAAGATACTTCTAGCTGTCCAAGACTGAGTATAGCTGAGTTACATCATCAGTTTGATTGGATATTTGTGAGTGCAGCCATTGCAGATGGTAAGATGAGAAATATAGTGACATTTAAATTAATATGTATCCTGTTTTGTAGATCATTACGGCTTAGTGTGACATCACATTGTTAGTGTTGTTTGATCCGTGCAATTGGGCATTATTTAGGGTTGTATCTGTTAGAAGGAGAAAGTGATAATGAAGTCAGGTATTTCTTTGATGCAGTCTGGTTTATTTACAAAGAATTGCATACTAAGTCCCATTTCTCTGAATATAATAGGAAGCAAACGTAATCAAACAGGAGGCAGTTTCTTTGCTCACAGTTCCTAGCCTCATTCCAGCTAGCACTCTGCCTCAAAAGATCTTTCTAGGCTTTCTCTCAGGCCCCCGCCATCATGCTTTTCTAGCTGTCTCCTTGGCTTTCTGTGTGCTGCTGCACACAGACGCATGATTTTCACAAAACAGTACCTAGCTCCCTGCATTTGCATTCATTCTTCAGCATCTGACTGGCCATGCATGTGGCCTGTGTTTTTGGCAGTGGTTACTGTTGTTTCAGCTTACTCCAAAAAGGAGATTAAATTCTTACATTTATCCTGAATGGTGCTTTCATGCCCACCAGCTTCAAAGAGGTTTCACCCACCTTCATCATAATATGTTTTCTTATATATAGATTAGTTTATATGTGAGATTTTATGATAGTAAGCTAAGGACTTAAAATAGTAACTGTTAGGGGGCTTATTCCTTCACCCACTTATTTCCCTGGTCCTTCTCGCATGAACAGAGAGCAACAATACCCGAAGTCCAAAGGTGCAAACAATTCGATGTTTATTGGGGTGAACTTCCAGCAAGCATGATTCCAGTTTCCTTCCTTAGTATCCTCCTTCCCAGCTCTGACACCACAGAGCCTTACACCTGTGTCCCTGTTCCCATTCCTACCCTTAGCCAAACATGATTCCAACTTCCTTACTCCCATTCCCTGTTCCCATTTCCCCCTTTAGCAAAACATGATTCCAATTTTCTTACCCCCATTCCCTGTTCCCATCTCCCTTACCCACATGCCCATGCCCACCCACACCCTTCCTCATTGACTACAGATTATATAGTAAAACTTGAGTTCTGCTTAGCTATACCTTAACCAATCATTTTCCTGAAATTTAACTAACCAATCCTAACATATTGTAACATGATTATGTAACCAATTATATCCCACCACCTCAATTAGTTTACACCCAGCAAAATTAATTATACAGCAGACAGGAACAATCACAGAACCAGACAGAGATTATACAGACAAACAACAGCAAAGTGGGAACTATAATGACAAAACAATACAGAAGTGAGGATTTCACATCCCAGCTATTGATAAGTGAGTTCTTGCCAGACAGGATGCTATCAAACTAAGTTTCCTTTTACATTTTCTAGGCACTTCCCTTTCTCTGGAGGTGATAGGAATACAATCCTGTCCTGATAGTGCCTAACAGCCCAATAGCACCTTATTTCAATGTGACTAGTTTGGAATGTGAGGATGTGACCGTTCGCTTCCCAGCTTATGGCTGCCTCTGCTGCTTAGCCAAAGGCCTGAGCCTAAGCACAGGGCCACAAACTGTCACAGTAAGAGATGGCCCTTACACTGGCAGACAGTGGTTTTGATTCTTTCTTTTATACCTCTATCACTAGCCAAGTGATAAGAATACACCTAAATTCTTAGAGTATAGGCCTTTACAGACAGGCCTGAATATCTATATCCTAACAGTAACTGAGAATTGCGTTGTACGTCGAAATGTAAGTCAAAACCACTTTTCCCATAGGAATCAATGGTATGAAGGCGGGATTTGTTCTTGAACCAAAGCTTGATACACTATTTTCACCACAATAACCCAGATTTTTGTACTAAATGAATTATAGATGAGAAATGTTGCAACATCAGTGTATTTACTGCACACTGTATTTTGTAAACAGCATGCAAATAAACATATAAACTCACATATGGCTGCTCAGAATGCCAGCAACACAGGCTCAGAAAGCCAGGGAGAAAGGTACACATGCTGAGCCTCAGCCAATCACTGTTCAAGCTTTCTGATTGGCTGAGACCAGGCCGGGAACCAATCAGAAACAAGCGGCAACCCTACCTGGCAACAAGCTGCCCTGCTGCCTCAAAGCCAATGAGAAGCGACCCCTTCCAGCTCCATACCAGAATAACACAACCAGGAAGTGATTTTAAGTGAACTTTATGCAAATTGAACGTTGTAAAGGGGAAACGGGCAGTCAATTGAAAAGCGTTGTAAGTGGCGTCCGACCTAAGTCAGGCGTCGTAAGTCTGAGGACTCCCTGTACTTCTGTGAAAACAACGAGGAGTCCTTGTGGCACCTTAGAAATTAAAAAAATTTATTTGGGCATAAGCTTTCATGGGCTATAACCCACTTCATCAGAATTATTAAAATTTGTGAATTCATAAGTAACTCAGGATGGGGAAAGTGAGAAAGAATAGTACTTTTTCCTTGAGTGCTATATGAGTTGTAGACTCCTCATGGTTTCCATAGATTTTGAAATTCTAGTTTGAAATACTGTCTAGATGTTCGCAAAAAGAAAAGGAGTACTTGTGGCACCTTAGAGACTAACCAATTTATTTGAGCATGAGCTTTCGTGAGCTACAGCTCACTTCATCAGATGCATACCGTGGAAACTGTAGCAGACTTTATATATACACAGAGAATATGAAACAATACCTCCTCCCACCCCACTGTCCTGCTGGTAATAGCTTATCTAAAGTGATCATCAGGTGGGCCATTTCCAGCACAAATCCAGGTTTTCTCACCCTCCACCCCCCACACAAATTCACTCTCCTGCTTCTCGTCCACTGTCACCCCTAGGTCCTTTTCCGCAGAACTGCTGCCTAGCCATTCGGTCCCTAGTCTGTAGCTGTGCATTGGGTTCTTCCGTCTTAAGTGCAGGACCCTGCACTTATCCTTATTGAACCTCATCAGATTTTTTTTGGCCCAATCCTCCAATTTGTCTAGGTCTTTCTGTATCCTATCCCTCCCCTCCAGCGTATCTACCACTCCTCCCAGTTTAGTATCATCCGCAAATTTGCTGAGAGTGCAATCCACACCATCCTCCAGATCATTTATGAAGATATTGAACAAAACCGGCCCCAGGACCGACCCTTGGGGTACTCCACTTGATACCGGCTGCCAACTAGATATGGAGCCATTGATCACTACCCATTGAGCCCGACAATCTAGCCAGCTTTCTACCCACCTTGTAGTGCATTCATCCAGCCCATACTTCCTTAACTTGCTGACAAGAATACTGTGGGAGACCGTGTCAAAAGCTTTGCTAAAGTCAAGAAACAATACATCCACTGCTTTCCCTTCATCCACAGAACCAGTAATCTCATCATAAAAGGCGATTAGATTAGTCAGGCATGACCTTCCCTTGGTGAATCCATGCTGGCTGTTCCTGATCACTTTCCTCTCATGCAAGTGCTTCAGGATTGATTCTTTGAGGACCTGCTCCATGATTTTTCCAGGGACTGAAGTGAGGCTGACTGGCCTGTAGTTCCCAGGATCCTCCTTCTTCCCTTTTTTAAAGATTGGCACTACATTAGCCTTTTTCCAGTCATCCGGGACTTCCCCGGTTCGCCACGAGTTTTCAAAGATAATGGCCAATGGCTCTGCAATCACAGCCGCCAGTTCCTTCAGCACTCTCGGATGCAACTCGTCCGGCCCCATGGACTTGTGCACGTCCAGCTTTTCTAAATAGTCCCTAACCACCTCTATCTCCACAGAGGGCTGGCCATCTCTTCCCCATTTTGTGATGCCCAGCGTAGCAGTCTGGGAGCTGACCTTGTTAGTGAAAACAGAGGCAAAAAAAGCATTGAGTACATTAGCTTTTTCCACATCCTCTGTCACTAGTTTGCCTCCCTCATTCAGTAAGGGGCCCACACATTCCTTGGCTTTCTTCTTGTTGCCAACATACCTGAAGAAACCCTTCTTGTTACTCTTGACATCTCTGGCTAGCTGCAGCTCCAGGTGCGATTTGGCCCTCCTGATAACATTCCTACATGCCCGAGCAATATTTTTATACTCTTCCCTGGTCATATGTCCAACCTTCCACTTCTTGTAAGCTTCTTTTTTATGTTTAAGATCCGCTAAGATTTCACCATTAAGCCAAGCTGGTCGCCTGCCATATTTACTATTCTTTCGACTCATCGGGATGGTTTGTCCCTGTAACCTCAACAGGGATTCCTTGAAATACAGCCAGCTCTCCTGGACTCCTTTCCCCTTCAAGTTAGTCCCCCAGGGGATCCTGGCCATCCGTTCCCTGAGGGAGTCGAAGTCTGCTTTCCTGAAGTCCAGGGTCCGTATCGTGCTGCTTACCTTTCTTCCCTGTGTCAGGATCCTGAACTCAACCAACTCATGGTCACTGCCTCCCAGATTCCCATCCACTTTTGCTTCCCCCACTAATTCTACCCGGTTTGTGAGCAGCAGGTCAAGAAAAGCGCCCCCCTAGTTGGCTCCTCTAGCACTTGCACCAGGAAATTGTCCCCTACGCTTTCCAAAAACTTCCTGGATTGTCTATGCACCGCTGTATTGCTCTCCCAGCAGATATCAGGAAAATTAAAGTCACCCATGAGAATCAGGGCATGCGATCCAGTAGCTTCCATGAGCTGCCGGAAGAAAGCCTCATCTACCTCATCCCCCTGGTCCGGTGGTCTATAGCAGACTCCCACCACTACATCACTCTTGTTGCTCACACTTCTAAACTTAATCCAGAGACACTCAGGTTTTTCTGCAGTTTCGTACTGGAGCTCTGAGCAGTCATACTGCTCCCTTACATACAGTGCTACTCCCCCACCTTTTCTGCCCTGCCTGTCCTTCCTGAACAGTTTATAACCATCCATGACAGTACTCCAGTCATGTGAGTTATCCCACCAAGTCTCTGTTATTCCGATCACGTCATAGTTCTTTGACATCACCAGGACCGCCAGTTCTCCCTGCTTGTTTCCAAGGCTTTGTGCATTTGTATATAAGCACTTGAGATAACCT